ATAATTACTATAATTATATATATAAATAAGAATTATTTATTAATTTAATAGAAAATAATATATTTATATACTTACTTTGAAATATAATTATAATTTTCTTTCAATAATCATAATTTCTTTTTTTTAAAATTTGTTTTCATACATAAATAAGTAGCTATAACAAATTTATTTTATCTTTTAATATATCTATAAATTTAGTTTATGATTTTAAAATTTAAATTTAGAATAATTAAAATATTTATTATAAATACAATTTTATATTTATCAGATAATTTAGATTTTACCAAAGGTATTAAAAATAAAAAAACTAATTTACTTATTCTTTTACCTTTATATTTATCATTATGCTTAAATATATTTTTAAGTGATCTTCTAAAATCTAATAATATATTTTTTCTATTATTCTACATCAATATACCAATTTCTTTCTATAAAGATTTTGTTAAAATAAAAAGTATAGAAATATTTTGATCATCTTTAAAAAATTGATCAGCCTATAATTTAAACAGATGAGAAGTAACATTTTCAAAAAATAGATGCATTATATCTATTAGAAAAGATCTAGAAAATTTAATTAAAGATAATTCAAATAAATACTTTTATATTTAATGTTTATAAAAAAAATAATAAATTTATTTATAAAATTATAAATTTATCTTAAAAAGTTGATACAATTCTATTTTATTAATACATAATAATCAATTTGTTTAATTTTTTTTAATATAATTAGTTTTAAAATTAGTAGAAAAATAAACATATTTATACTTTTATAAATAAGCTTCTTAAATCTTATAAAATCTACAACTCAAATATAAATTAACCTTTGTAATATTTATCACTTTTGTAAAAGTTGATAATTTGTTATATTATTTAAATATAAAATATTATTTTAATAAAAAATAATAAAATATTTAATTATAAATAAATATAGTAAATTATTTACTTTCTAATTCTTTTATTTTATCAATAAATAGTCATAAAAATATTAGTTTAGAAATTAAAAAAAAAATTAATTAATTTTTTTTTTATTCATAATGAAGAATGTAAATTATTATTTATCAAAAAATAACTAATAATTATCAGTTTTTTATTTAAAAATCTGATATCTATCACAAAAAGCTATAAAATCAATATTTTCTTTTTTATCAAATAAGTTTTCATTTATAAATTCTTTGATTTGTAATAATATCATAATTCAATTTTAACAAATTTTAGCTTAATAAAACTATCATACTGAAGAGAAATAAAATCTAGTATTAGTTTTATAATAATTACTACTTAAAAATTTTTTTATATTTAAATTTTACTATATAAAAATTTAATTAGATTGTTAAATTATATAAAATTAGTATTATTAACTGAATACTAAATTTTGCTAAAATATTTAAATTTAAATTTTAAAATAAGTATAAAATTATGATTTTAGCATTTGTAATTAATGAATTATAACTTTTCAAAAGTGACCAATTATATTTATATTTTTTTATGAGTTACTGTATTATAAAAATTATTAAAACTTTATAAGTTGCTGGATTTAATTTTACTTTAGCAAAAGTTTATAATTGATTTAAAAAATAATATATGCATTAATTTTATAATCTTATTCTATAAAATTTTTCATGCAAGTTTTAATAATATTATTATATCTATAAAAATTATTTAAAGTAATTTATACTATATATCTTATTTCAAATTGAAAAAGAATTTATAAAATTTGTACTTAATGTAGTTGATATTATTATTATATAAAAATGAATCTATCTTTTGATCAAATGTAATTTTAAAATAATATTATCAAATTAATGAATAAATTTAATATTAAATTCAAATAGCTAGTTCTAAAAATCTATAGATATTATTGTAATATTTTATAAAAATAGTCATTTTATATTTAAAATTCTATTAAAATAAGACTATCTTTATCAAAATATTATTAAGATTTCTTTCAATTTTCTTATAAATCTTGATAACATTATAACTTATCTCTTAGGTATTTCTTCTATTAAAACTTGAAAATTGAAATATTTTTATATTAAATCTTCTAAACTTTATAATAGTTCTATGAGATATAATAAAAAATAATTATCTTATCATATTCTTATTAGATATTTATTTAAATTAAATGAATTAGAGGTTAAAAGAAATGTATAATTAATATTAATTAGTTTTTTTAAAGATAATGAAATTATAAAAAAAGATATTTTTATGAAAAAAGTTTATAATCATTTTAAATGATTTTATATTTTCTTTTTAATAGATTCTTAAAAAAATCTTCAACTTCTTCATTAGTTTATTTTTTATAATAAAATAATCTATAGTTAATTTATAATATAAATCTATAATAGTATTAAGATCTTAAGATCTCTTCTATACCAAAATTTGAAATTATCTATAACTTGATAATATTTAACTTCATTAGAAATTATTTTTTTATATTATTTAATATATATTTTTTAAAATTTTTATTTATTAAAGATTATTTATTCATTTTTTATAACTTTATATAAATTTATCCTTCTATAATAAAAACTTATATTAATTATATTGATTATAACTTCATTAGCATTACTTTTCTTTATGATTAACAAACTTTCCTTAACATCTGTTATCTCACTTTTCTTTGAAATAGCAAGTTTTGTTCACTTTCTTTTGGATTAGCATCTATTATGTTCATTTTCTTTCATGATTAACATGTTATATTTGCTTTTCTTTTATAGTTAGTAAGCTTTTCTTTGAGTTGTTTTACTTTTCTTTGAAATAGCAAATTTTATTCACTTTCCTTGAGATTATGTTTACTTTCTTTGTGATTAACATGTTATATTTGCTTTCCTTGGTTAGCAAACTATTTTTCAGGATAGCAAGTTATTTTACTTTTCTTCATGGTTTAGCAACTCACTTTAATGAAAGTTACTCTTGCTTAAAAGCCTAAAATTTTTTGTTTTTATGCATTACAATTTGATTTTAATATATTATTATATTATTGTCTAACTTTATATAATACATTATATAATTTAAATCAAATATGAATTTAGCCTATTATACTGAATTCAATATTTAGAAGATTTGTTGAGAATGAGGAGGACCCCTGAATATGAAAAAATTTATATAGTGAACTCTGTCCAGAGAATGGGTCAAAATGTACAGTCAAATTTAATTAAAATATACAATTTCACCAAAAATAAGCACAAAATGTAAGACAAAAATTATATATTTATTGAAAACTTTAGTCAAAATATACTATATAACTATAGAATAAATTGCAATGTGTATGACAATACTTTAAGTACTATTATCATCATCCATTTCTAGCTTTTTTGCATTTTTCATGATTTTTTCAGCATTTACAATACTATTTTCAACACTAACAATAATATTTTGCTAATGATAATAAGATATTAATTGCAAATCAGATAACCATAATATTCTATCTATCCATTTTGATGTATCGCAAAAAATAGTTTTAATGTTACCTAAAGCTGCAAAGAACTGAAATAGATATACTTCACACGCAAATTGTGCTTTATCATTAACCATTATTGGTGTAAATTCGCGATCAGAATCAGGCTTTCGATTAAAAAGTCTGGCATGAATTCGACTAGCATCTATTCCATTTAATGTTTCAGCTCTAACATAACTTGTATCACGTTTCTAAAATTAATAGTTAAATTTAATACAGTTAATACTGAATCTTTATCATTTTTATAAATATTCAAACTTACCGTAAATACTGCTATAATTTCTGCTATAAAGATTGATAATGTTTTATCCACAAAAAAAAAATAATTTCCAGCTTTAAATTTAGATGCTTGTGGATTCAATTTTGTAATTTTAAATACTTTTTTGTATGCTGTAGTCCATCATGAAGCACGTCCTTTAGTCCTAATTGGTTTATTACCAGCATGCATTCTTTCATATCTCAAAGCAGTTGCCAATTCAATTGAACCATCATCTGTTTCAACTACAAAATTCTTTGGTTGTTTGTTGCCTTATTATTAACCTTTCGATGTTCTTTTTGTGTATACTGATCAAATGCAGCTAAAAAATAAAGATAAAATTAAACTTTTTAATATATTTCGTTATACAAAATTTCATAAATGCATACCACGAGTTTCTTCCATTTTTTGCATAATAAAAAGATGATCTATAGTAAAGATGACGCTTCAATTAGTTGCAACAGGTGACAAATAAGTATTATAATATTGCAACGAATTGAAACATTATTAAAATTTAAGTTGCAACAAGTGACAAATAAGTGTCACAATGTTGCAACGCCATCTTTAATCTATAGTATTTTTTTGTTGTATATTACAATTAATAATATCAAAAAATGAATTTTCCGCAGTATTCAAAAACTCTTGCTCTAATTCTTCATCCTCGAATATTAATTGGTTTCCATTAAGACAACTTGGTAAATTATGCTTCATTGTAATACAACGTTGATGTTGCAATAGCATTTGGTCAATTTGAGTATCTTCGGAGACATTGGATGGGTTTTCAAATTGAGTTTCTTCATCATCGTCATCAGTGTCATTAGTTGAATTATCAAAGTTATGGTCATGTTTTAGAGTATGTAAAGTATTCTGAATGATAGTATATTCAGATAATTCATAATTAATTCCAACACTTTGTAAAATTAAATTCATAACTTTTGAAACCTGTAGCAAATATTGGCTTCTATTAATGATAATTGTGTAATGGTCAGCCAAAAATTAATTTTACATACCTTTAACATATCAGAATCAATATCGAATGAATTAGAAAATTCTGATAAATTTTTTGATAACTTATCTTTTGCAGTTGAAAGATGAATATTATATCCATCATTATTATCTGGCTGTATTAAGTTTCCTAAAGAGTAAAAATAAATATTGGTTTAAATTTTTTTTACATAAATTAATAATAAAACTTGAGGAAAGAATTATACCTTTCATTTCAATTGAAATTGTTTTGAATATTTTTTCATTCATCATTAAAAAATCTAAAATAGTAAAATCCTCTATAATTCGTCGCGCATAACCAAATATGTGTTCTAAAAAAGCAGTAGAGATAAGCCAAGGACATAATGGAGTTCCGGGATAATAATTTGGAAAATGATAAATCAGAAGAATTAATGTAGTGCCAAAATAAATAAAATTATCATTTGATTGCCAGGATATGCCATATTTTTGAGAATTTCGTTGATTTTTATTTGAAACTAGATAATAACGTGTTATAGCAAAAAATATTGTTGCCGCCCATGCAAATCGAATCCTATTCAGGTGATCCATTGTACGAGATTTCTATGATTCAAATAATAACCCTGCAAAGAAATGATAAAGAACATCTCCATAAAATGAATCGTCATTGCATTCAATAGTATGCTGAACTATAGCTAAAAAAGTTAAAAATGTTAGTTAAACTTGATTTGTTATTTATATTAATAAAAAGTTATTTTTATACCTTTTAATACATTGGAAGAAAAAAATCTTTCAGTAAGTTCGTCTACTTGTTTATCTTTTGGATTTAATATTTCATTTGTTAAACCTGACTTATTTCCATAATTTTCTTTTAGATACCAAAGGTGTTCTGTTGACATAATAAAATTACTAATTGGACAAATACGAGCACCTCCATTATGCATGTTTCAAGCTTTTTATATTTTATTTTGTTAGTTTGTAGATTATTAAAAAATGCGTTAAAACTTTAGAATTTAAATTACCTTTTTTAATACAATGAAAAACATCAGTTCCACTAATTAGAGGGTAACAATTATTAAATACCCCCATCTCAATTGGAAGATTTTTTATAAGAAATGTTGCATTATCCTAAATAAAACAATTAAATAATGTTACTAAATAGCAATTAATATTAAATAATAAGAATTGATATATGCTTACTAATATAATACCAAGATCAGAAAAAACTGATGAATTTTTACTATACGTTTCTCCTATCCAAGATTAATCATATGCAACACTATCAAAATAAAGTCTAATAGGTTTTGCATTTGAATTTATTAATGCTTTTAAAACCATATTGTTTTCAAAAAACGCATCAATTTTGATTTCTTTTTGATTTGATGGTATAACGGCTAAAACTAATGGTGGAATACCCGGTAAAACAGCTGACAATGCGAAAACAGTAATATATGTAGCCTTTTCAAATGATAAAATTTTGGCATGAAGTTCCTCAACAGACATTGAACAGGTATTGTTGAAGTATTGATTGGAACTGATCCCACCCATTGTTGACGTGTTCTGCAGACTTCAATCATCTCAGCAACTTTTGTTTGATTTTTTGCACATATTGTTGGACCGTAGTAATTATATGCTAAGCGCCAAATTGTAATAAGCTCAGCAAATATACTAGGATTAATCCCATGAATGTTAAAAAATCCATTATTTTCATTTCTTTTCTTGTGTAGTAATCGAATTGTTGGGCCAGCTAGATTTGTTGTAATCTATCGAACTGATAATGTACTGATTGACATTAATACAATAAGAAAATCTGTAAAACTTTCATTGTATTGTCCAATTCCACACATTGATGTTACTTCACGTTCCATTTTATCAAGAATTTTGGTAACTGCTTGTGCCATGCCAATAAAAACTGGACGTTTTTCATCCATAGTCTTGTTAATCATAAGGGTTGCACATTTTCTGATCTAATCTTCAAGTCCATTTGCTTCAACAGCTTCAAGAATTTGGCCAAGTGTTGGATATGTTTTTATAAGTGAATGATAAGGATGATCCTTAAGTTCAGTATTAAGATAATTAAGAAGATTTTTGAGAGCATCAGATGTAGCTGTTCCAGGCTGATGTTTAATTGTTTTCTTTATAGTTTCATGAAGCAGTTGTTGATTCATTGTTAACCATTCACTATTACAAAACCAAACATGAAATTTTTTAGGAATTTCTTTTTCTTCTTTAAGAAGGATCAAAGAATCAATTTGAGCAATAAGGGTTTGCATGTGACAATTACGTTTATTGAAAGATTCGTTAGAAGCCAAAGATGCACATGTTGAGCAAAACCGAATTCGAGTTTTTCCTATTCATTTTTCATGTTTGAAGTATCCTTCTGCTTTTTCAACACCATCAAAAAGGGTTTCATCTCGTAAAATTTGATAATTTTGACCTTTAGTCCCATATTTTGCTAATACAGCATATTTGTGAGAAAAAAAACCATTACAAGCTAATTTATAAAATAAATTAAATTAGAATGTAATATATACCCTATGAGAAAAATTAAAGCAAAGATCGTCATTACCTTTGTATTGCGAATTATCACTATCAAATTGATCGAATTGATCGTCAATGCTAGTAACAAATTGAGTAAGAAAGGTTGTTCGTGGTTTTTTGTGTATCATTTAGTCTGCTTTTGTTTTATTACCAATATGTAATTGAGTGTTTAGATGTGTCCATAAACGATCCCCATCATTAGGTCGATGCAGCGTAATTGGTTTTCCTGTATCACAATAATGATAGTACACGTGTTTTTCGTCTAATTTCTCTAAATTTTCATCAAGAAGCATATTATTTAATTTTGGTGCTTTTTGTTTTGGAGTATTTCTTTTTTCGTAGGTAATATTGGGCTCTGGTTCTTTTCTTTTTTCAGGTATAAGCGAACTAACATGCTTCTCTTTTCCTTTTTCCTTAACTGCAGAAGTTTGCATAGATTCAGCGAGTACAGGAAAATAAAGTTTGGTTTGAACAACCGTTTTCCTATTTTGCTTTTTGGAAGTTTCACCGTTCATAATGATTTATAAAATATTCTAAAAATATACAAAAATAAGATTTTTACAGTTTCAAAGTTGCGACTTTAAAAATGAGACGACAAAGTATAAAAAAAAGGAGATAACGATGATTGATAAGTGTATGACAGTTGTACGACAAATGTACAATAATAAATCTAAATTTGGATAGAAGTGTACACCTAATCTTTTTTCTGTTATTAATTGACTGTACGATGTATTATTTTGTCATTAAATGGATGTACGACAAGCCTTTTTGTCCATGGTATATTGAGTGTACGATAAAAGTCACCACACGTGATCACTTAAAAAGGAAATCTGTACCACAGTACGATGAAACTCTTCAAAAAAATTCAAAAGTGTACGCATAGAGTTCACTATATAAATTTTTCATATTCAGGGGTCCTGAATGAGGTATAAATTGTTAATTTCTATAGTTGCGGGGCAAAACCCTAAACCCATTTTGGCAAAAGTCGAAACTTTTCAGAAATTGTTTTGACAGTTTCGATGGGTTTCGAC